TCGAAGATCGTTCGAGCTGGAGTTGCCGAGGTTTTTGGGTGTGCCATACCTAGATACGAACCCGAGAGATGTTCTACAGTTGATTGTTTCTCTCCGTTCCTATGTTGTTCCGTTACTATTGACTGCCCTTGCGGCATTATTGCTCGTCATGTTTGAGTGGCTTCCTTTACTTTGAGTGACAACTTTCGAAATACATCATTGTAACTTCTACTGATCCGTAAATGCCCTATTGCGTTGTGTGATATTGGCGGATCTATGACACTTCTCGAACGATGCTGGTTGAGATAATACACAGTTTCTCACCTTCGCGTGCCAAACATCTACGTGAATCGAGGGACTCAGAACTCGACTCAACCAAATCGCTGCCATATTCAAGCCTCGTCGAGACTGCCTCCAAAACAGCACAACGACAAACTCAAAAAGAACTCGATACTGAATCCACATTAAAGAAAGTTAGATACTGCCGGTGAACGGATACTAAGCCGTATCTTAGGATAGTGACATGGCCACCCCACCCACGAAAATTGATTGCACTCAGCCGTATCTTGGGGTAGTGGCATAGCCACCACATCCAGGGACTTTGATTGCACTGAGCCGTATCTTGGGGTAGTGGCATAGCCACCCCGCCAACGCAAATTGATTGCACTCAGCCGTATCTTGGGGTAGTGGCATAGCCACCACATCCAGGGACTTTGATTGCACTGAGCCGTATCTTGGGGTAGTGGCATAGCCACCCCGCCAACGCAAATTGATTGCACTGAGCCGTATCTTGGGGTAGTGGCATAGCCACCACATCCAGGGCCTTTGATTGTACTAAGCCGTATCTTGGGGTAGTGGCATAGCCACCCCACCCACGCAAATTGATTGCACTGAGCCGTATCTTGGGGTAGTGGCATAGCCACCCCACCCACGGAAATTGATTGCACTGAGCCGTATCTTGGGGTAGTGGCATAGCCACCCCACCCACGCAAATTGATTGCACTGAGCCGTATCTTGGGGTATTGGCATAGCCACCCCGCCAACGCAAATTGATTGTACTGAGCCGTATCTTGGGGTAGTGGCATAGTCACCCCACCCACGGAAATTGATTGCACTGAGCCGTATCTTGGGGTAGTGGCATAGCCACCACATCCAGGGACTTTGATTGTACTAAGCCGTATCTTGAAGTTTTGGCATAGCCACCACATCCAGGGATATTGATTGTACTAAGCCGTATCTTGGGGTAGTGGCATAGCCACCACATCCAGGGACTTTGATTGTACTAAGCCGTATCTTGAAGTTTTGGCATAGTCGTCCCACCCAGGGGGATTAATTGTACTCAACACAACATTGCTTCACTGGAAAGTATCCGTACATTACTAAAAGGACTCATGATAATGATTAGACATCAATGTGCGTCAATTAGGGAGGCCGCTTGATTCACTCATCCAAGGGTCAGATTGCAGCAGCCTCCGGAGCCGCCGGAACCTTTCCCTCCGAGAGGAGCATGCACTTTGGTCATTAGGCAAAGCAGTTAGAAGAGATCCTCAGGCGAGCAACACCCATACAGTTATCAGTAGATGAACAAGCTTAATTGTTACTTTTGTTCCGGTACGGCGGCCTGCTCATGCGAGACATTGACGGACGATGCTCCACCTGAAGGCGAGAAAGGTCACCTAGCGTATTTTGGCATCCTAGACACCATCTGGCGCATGGTTCACTCGAGTGCTGCTCCGCTTGGCCATGCCAGAACCTTACGACAGGGCAATATAGGGGAAAGTGCCGCTACCATACCTTCTTGACAGAGGAGATATCCGCTGGGGCGGTAGGTTTGGGCCGCTCTACAGCGAAAGGGCAGGACTGTGTCGGCATGATGTTGAAAGTGCAGTAGACGAGCCTACGATGATGTATCTCGGCGCCGGCGTTTCAAAGATGAGAGATGAGACCCAATAGCGATTGACCGCTGATAAAACACCGCACAAGCTCAGTGCAGGAGAGAGAGAAACGTATTGATCAATATTAACGGTGATGCAAGAGTGGACAGTGATGATCGTGAAGCTAACAGCTATGCCATAATCAGCTACTAGCACTAGACTTGCCAGCAACGCTATCGAGCAGTTGTTTGTCTCCTCCCTGCTCTCCAACGACCACCACCTTGCTTTCTGCCTTGCCCTTATTCTTCAGCATTCCTTTGAGGCTGCTGCCCACCTGCTTGCGAGTCATACTATTCGCCTGTTTCGTATCAATGATCAGTTCAATCCAACCTTTGACGCCATCGTCATCTTGAGTGAAAGTGCATAGCATCTTCGTGGCCTCGAAGAGTGGTGGACAAAGGAATAGCTCATCCACCGTAGATGGTGAGCCAGCCACATCGCATTGACGGCGGAAGAGCTCAGCTAAGACCAGGTACCCAGTAGTAGTGAGTTTAACAACACCATCAAGAAGAGGAGTCTGCTTCCGGCCTGAATCTCCCAGGAGGTCAGTGAGTGCTCCATCACCACCGAGGTATGCCAACTGAGGCAAAGCTATAAGGTTCTCCAGAGCAGGGCGTAGGAAACAGTCCACTAGAGACAGGCAGAAGTTCTGCCGTGTCTCGAGCGATTCAGGGAGGGCCGTCCAGCAGCGACATGTGGTAGCATTCATAAGACTGAGAACAGATAACGTCAAATGAGGGATGGGCAGTAGACTCGACAGCGCTGTGAAGAGGGACCTGCCAAACAGGATGTGGCCCTGGTCACTGCGGAAGGGGTTCCCTTACTTTATTAATTGTCGATCGTTCAAATAGGCCACGACATCATCACCATCATCCCGATCTTCTGCCTCGTCGTCGGAGTCTATCATGTCCAGTCCCGCAAAGTGATTTCGGTTGCGCAACTGCCGCTTAGTTAGAGACTTCCCATCAGTGGGTAAGGAAGGCCGCCTACAGCAAATAATACCACTCCTCCACCACATCTATCGATAGAGTACTTGGCAGGAGCAAGCCTGAGGTCGACTCCAGTGTCCACCTGTGCGAGCTTGAGGAGCTCTCTGATGCCGTCCAGGAGAGTCTTGCCACACCTAGCTACAGCAGAGTAGAACAGCAGACTCGTGATCCCAGAAGTCTTGTCGCCTTCTGGAGCACCCTTCTCGTAGACCTTCCAAAGAGCCTGAGACCAGACATAGGAAGAAACAGACCCCACCAGTGCTTACTGAAGGGATGTTTGAGTAAAGAATAGTGGAGGCCTCGACCAGAGGACCACTGGATGCATCCTTAAGGCCGGGCTGCAAGGCGTAACGCAGAAGCTGAAGAGAAGCGAGCACCCATGGACAGAGGGAGAACCCCCAGCATCAACGCTCACAAGCTCTAGGTGATTCGGTGAGGTCCTCCCTGACTGAGCAGCGCTGACTGCCGCACCGACCAACTCGATAAGGCGGCACTTCAGCGTTGGTACCTGATAAGGACTATCCCTAGGGAAGCTGTAATGGACTGCAGCAGCTACCCGTCGCCAGACCCTTGCCAGTGCTCCTAAGGTTCGATACACGTTACAGCGCAACTGGTAGAGCTGCCGTCGAGATTTGTCGCTGCATGCTGGGGTCGCTGTAGGCAGGGGGAACATAGCCTCGACAGTGCATGGCGGCTTGTGGCCTGTACAATCGATCCTTAGTACGACTGTGGGTGATGGAGGAGTACCCATTATAGAGGTCCACTCGTCATGACACATGTCCACCAACTGGTCTTCCGCAGCGCTACTCGCCCTACGCTCGGACTGGGGTATCCACCAGGAACCCTGAAAATACATGGGTAAAAAACATCAGACCTAGGAATCGAACCGGGGACTCCCCGTTTGACAGTATGCTTACCGAACATCTGTTGTGCAAAAGAGTCATCCACTTCATCACTGGAGGAGTGATCGAGTTGGCGAACTCTACCAGCACCTGGAGAGAGGATCAGTCGAACTGACAACTACTAGTAGCAGCCCTACCTGGTCCATCTCAGAGCTCTCTTGAGGGCTGCTAGTATCCCTTTCCTCAGCGGCCTCTGCTGCAGAGAGGCAGCTCAGGCACATTGACAGGAGACGAATAGCCTTCCTAGCTATGTCCTCGGCAGTGTCGATGGCGATACACTCAAATCGGCAGCCCTCCTCTGTGACTCTGATGAGAGTCGAAGCCACTTCATCGTAGATACACTTGGACTCAGCAGGGGAGAGAGACCCAACAAGAGGAGGCCCTCCACCGCCCAGGAACAGGACAGAACACCGTGGGAGCGACTCACCTGGACAGGAATATCCCAAAAGGCGAATACTTAGTGGGGGCCACCTACCCCGGCAAGGGAGGAGATCAGCTGGGCCTTATCAAGGTCCATCCCCGACAGTTTCTTGCACGTACACAGTACAGCATTCTGGGCTGTAGTCATCATAGAGACATTAAGGGATCCATCGGGCATGGTCGGTGGCCTCGAACCATCGCTCATCTACCACTAGCCATGTCCCTCAACACCTGTCCCATGGACCTACGCATTTCTCTATCAACCCTCCCAAGACGTTGGAAGGCAACCTCTCTACAGCACATGGTATGAAGTCGTAAAACCTCTTCAAGTGCTCCGGAGTCCAACTAGCTGTTGTCGAGAAGGTGGTCTGGACCACGGCATGGCAGATGACAGGCCAAGATCAGTGCTCACCACGCATGCCCTAGCCACAATGTTAGACAGGAGACTCCTCAGCTCTGTCTCGTCCAGATTAGCCTTGGGGTCCGCGACTGTCTGACCGTTGGGTTTGCTCGGCAATACGAACGGCTTCAAGAGACACTCCAATAGATTCAAGGCAGCCGAATACCTGATGACCAGGATGCGGTGTTGCAATGTATGTTCGCTTCCCTCAGCTGAGCTTGAGAATTTCTACAATTATCATAAAGTTCAGATATAAACTCGAGCAAGAGTGTACAGAATGCAACAAGAATTTCCCGAAATTTCCTCAGAATTCTCATTTTCTCACCAACTAATGTGGTTGACCATGTGCATATTTTTCACCAAGAGCAGCACTAGAGTGCATTCCAAGCACCCTCACTACTCCTTAAGACTAAGTTCATCCCGCTCCAGGATTGTAGCAGCAACCCTAACGGCCGTTGTATGCCGCATGGACACCTCAGTGTCGGGTATAGACAGTATGGTACGGAGTGTGATCAAGGCGCAGCTCTGAAGGATGTACCTCCGTAACCTCGCATAGCCAGCAGCCACCTACCTTGGACTTGCCCACTATCATATCAACGTCATCACCATAGGCCTCGGCATCTTCCTCGGAGAGCCTCTTCCATACAGCGCAGTACCTGTCGATGCGGGCTGGCAGTAATAGGACGCATCTGCAATGGTTACGCGTTGATGGGGACATCCCCGGCGTTGGAACCCATACCGACCGTGCGGTAATGTTGACAGAGGTCAGTACATGCCGCCTGGGGCTCTTGTTGGCATACAACCCAGAGATGATAGAAGTACTCTGATGGAGACAATTCCAACCGAAAGGTCCCCGGATCGAACCCTGCACCTGCTAGTGTATCCGCTTGGTTCCACACCGCCATGCGGCACGGTTGGTCACTAACCCCACTGTTGTTCTTGACGCCCGCCACAGCCCGCGAGCATACTCGTCGGGCCAGAAGCTCCAGAGCTGTCGACGCACAGAGCTGTAGGTAAGGCGATGGGTAACTTGAGGCGGAGCGATGCGAAAAAATGACCAATGTTCGTTCTTCTCACTTCCACATCAGCTTAATGGCTTGTAGAGCAGCACCTAGGTGTTCAGGGTGGTGGACCAAGAAGGAGTTGGTCGCACTCTCGACCATTTGCTGATGTTAATGATCATGTTAATACCACCCTAGCCGAGCTTACCTGGATGAGGTACGCAGTTTGACGGTGCATCTCGTAAACCGACGATTGGGACGCAGTGATGGAGGCCTGAAAGGGGAGATGGAGCTCCCTGGGTTGTGAAGGGCCTTACCACATGGACCCTCTCCGAGAGACTGCATATGGAGAGTATGAGGCGGCCCAGCTCAGCCTCACTGCAAGGCCTCATGCTATCAGGCAAGGACACTGGCCGTGGCTTGGATATATTCCTGAAAGATTATCATCAACAGCC